AAGTTGAGATGCTGCGAGAAGCTCTTTTGCTAGAAACTTGCCAGGCATGTGTAATGAGTGGCTGGCCTCCTAATTGTTGGGGGGCTCATCCGTGCATCGCGAGTGATTCGTGAAGGCCCACCGGCGAAGATTCGAATTAATTTTTTTTTTTTTCATGCTTGCGAAAATCTCTCCAATTCTAGCCTTTGGCGTGTGACCCTCACCGTCTTCTAGGCGAGGAATTTCATCCTCACCGTCCAACGTTGCCACTGTTGTGGTCCCGCCTAGTTGACTCTTTACTTACGAAAACGATCTGCCAACCCATGGTTACTTTTATCTCTGGGACAAAGAACTGTGGCGGTGTGTGGCACACAACTTGTTGCTCAGCTTTAGAACTATTAAAGAAAGTTCATTGCCGAATTATTAGAATCCTGGTTGGGGTAAACTTCTGGGTAGTACCTTGAAAAACCTTGGGACCCGCCAAAAAAGTTGTTGATTCCGATGGGTTCAGGATGGCATACAAAAGTTATTTTCGGACTCATGTCGTATCGATCCCCTCCGCATCTTACTGCAAAAAAGCTAAATTTTCTGTTTCTTATTAATAGGGTGTTTCAATCGTGTCAGAGTCTTTCCAATGCAAAACAAAAGAGATAATGTTGGAGAAGCAATCGAGTCTTGACATACTGCATCCTCGGTGCTCCCCAACAGCGGCCCCGAAAGTAGGACAGAATACTTGAACGCACACAAGAATTCGTCAACTTTAGCTCTGTACAGTGGCTGAGGGGCCGCAGACGGCACAGCCAGTTCCTTACTGCGACACGCTGGTCCAATCACGCAGCTATTTCCTACAACAATCCACTCAACCAAAGTCTTCCAGCAGTTGGCTTTTACCCTCAGTCCAGTAACAACGCTATACTTGCAGTGCAATTTCTTGAAGAACCACACAGTTACAGCGCATTCACTGGACGGAGCCGAATGGATGGCCAGATCCACAAGATTCAATCCCATTGAATCTAAACAGAAGTCGCATAAGATTCCGTTAGAGGATCTCCGGCGCGAGAAGGGGGAAATAGTTCATCTTCAAACTCTGTGGCGAGGCTGTAAATAGCATGAGGTTGTATCGTCACTGGCTTTGCTGTGCCAATCCAAGTTGGATCGGCTTAAGAGGTGGTAAGGGGCATGTCAGATTAGAGTTTTTAGGATGAAGGTCATGGGGGACACAAGCCTAATATTACACCTCCCCCGCATACTCCCAACCCGGGTCTATTTTTTCTCTAAACAAACTGAATAAATTGGGAGACAAATAGGGACCGTATTTATATTCATCACATACCACGTGTCTCTGTTGATACTGAGACCTACAAAAATCTGCCACCACTTTCATGCGCATGTTAAATTTACCCCTCGAACTCTGTTGTCATTTTTTTGAGTTATTTGCGAACCTGACATTGATTTTTTTCACTTCAAGTTCAACATTTCCTAAGAAATTGCAAAGTTTTCAATTATTACATGTGCAGACGTTAGAACCACAGTTTTACTATCTTTTTTTTAAAAAAAAAAATTATCTGTCTCATTTCATTGATTTTTATTGGGTAGTTTACCACTCATGTAACATACAATTACACAGCATTATATAGGAAATATTCAATTGAATCTTCTAAATCTGTTCTCCATCATTGAGGTACATTAAAAATTTGCCATGATTGCATCAAATTTGTGTGTTTTAAAATCACAGATAGAAAAAACATATTTTTCACGTTATTAATTTTCATAAATATCAAATCGAACACCTGCGATGCATCTCAATGATAAATTCAACCACTCATCTACCATTCTTTATCATAGAAAAAAAATGTGAATTGAGCCCCTCTAATGATTTTTAAACATATCTCAAACCATCAAGCAGATTTCTGTAGACTGCCCGGGCAATAATGTGACTGTGAAATGATTGATAGCAAAACAATATAATAACAAAACATTTTACTAAATCAGTGTTGTGCAGTGTTCAGGGAGATTCATCATTATGTAATATCTTCATCCTTCTTTCATATACACATTCTGATACAATTTCATCTGACTATTTCATATATTATTTTACTTGTGTCCTGAAGGGATTCATTGACAGTGCCATCTTTTACTCAGTTTATCTCTAAACTGAATGAACAATAAGTTTAGAGATGATTACCGACTTGTAAGCAAGTTGTTGTTTACCTCACTTGCTTAATGCTTTTACAGTTTGAAGGAACCATGCTTCTAAAAAAAATTGTTTCTACACATTAGTTTGCATTCTTTCAAAGAAGGAAGACACCACAATCTTAATTTCATTGCATCAAATAATTTTATCTGATAATACTTTTAATTTTCTGCAATTTTTTCTGATTATGTTTAAAGGGTTTATTTGTAGCATATGACCTCGTTTCGTGGGTTTTGTTAATACGTCCAGCCAAAATTTCCCACCGCAAAAATATTGTTGCTTAATTATTGTTCATACCAATATTATATTTGATTTTGGAGGTGCAAATAATATCATTTTCTTATTATATTTCTGTTATCTTGACGTATCCACGCAAATATTGCTGATCACAATGAAGATGCAACAAAACTAATCCTTTTACAACTTTTAATATATATATATATATATATATGGATAGATAGATAGATAGTCTTTTACAATTGGTTGGGAGTCAAAGATTGCATTTGATTTACTTGAAGATGAATACTTTCTGCATGCATTGTACATGAGGATCTTCAAAATGAAACCCATCCACACAATTCAAACATGTATCGAATCACAATTAAATTTATGAATTGTTTTAAATTGCAAAGGTGTTTTTGGACAGTAAATGCAGTATATTCATCACGTTGGTTGGAAGCCCAAAAAACTCAAGGTTCTGCTAGATTCTCTAGAAATGGATCTTAAAAACTATACATTATGGACCAGATGCCATGCAATTGTATCTTCAATTCAGATCATTTTGGGGGGGGGGGACAATCCAGTGTGTCCATGTGTCAATATATTCGAATATGTCACATGTCATTTTAAAACTGTGCTACTTGGCCACTCAGCTCTTTACTGTTAGATAGGAGTTGAACTGAGGATACTGCAAAATTTTAAATGATTTTAATTTATTTTTGTTTTGAATTCATTTTAATCCATTTTAAAGTATCTTGATTGGAGTGATTCATCATTCTTTTGCGGAAATCAACGATTCGTGTTATTGTAGTATTTGCACTGATACGTGGCAAAATAATGAAGGGATGTGATTATTGCTTCGCTAGTCTTTCCATTGTTGATTGAATCATTTTTGGTTTCTGGTGACTTAAGGACAGAAAATAAACATACAGAAGATATTGTTTGGTGATATTTAACTTCTTCAAAATTCATTAGAAGATATGTTGTGGCATTGTATCACTGTTTTCTATGCTGTTAAGAGTACAAAAATCATATGTATATTCATGTTCTTAGTGTAGAGTAAACTATGGTTGGTGAGTTCACACGAAAAACTACTTCACCAGGTGGAAATTTATTGACAAGGTACATTTTTGAAAGCACCTTTGTTATCCACATTCATTCTAATGTTTTTCCAACCCACTTATGACACAACCCATACAGAAAAAGGTTACATCTCCCAGCATACCAGCGGTAACACTTCACCCGCCACAACACGAACAACTAAATCTTCGAGGAACACAGTAGAATGCCACCATCACACAAAAGCCGCAATGGATGCAACAAAAAGCACCCTTGCAAGGCTTGCATTGAAGGATTTCAAGAAGAACTTTCCATTGCCGGTTTATACAAGTTGGAAATACGACTTCTGGGAAGCTCAAGGTAAGTCACAAAATTACAACAAAAAAAACCACTGCTACTTCTTCAGCTTCAGAAGGCTGCGAACGAAGTTGCAAGGAAAAACAAGCAAATGAAGACATGGTTGTGCATGATGTTGGGGTTTTACTAAATAGTATGGCAACGGTAAGACAACAAGGGAATCGACGTTCATGCCAGATGCGTTGCCCAAACAGCTCTCCTCACCTTCTTCGAAACTCCTCTGCTCAAGTGGGCACCACGCAGGCGAATGTTCGCTTTTGTTTCCAGTAGGAAATGCCAAGAAAGCCTGAAAACCACCAGTTTTTCTCGGGGACGACCTAAAATTACCACTTTTGATGATACAGTTCCTACTACTCCAGGCCTTCGATGGGGTTGCCAGTTGCAAGACCCCATCTTTTTTTTGTTTTTTTTGTTTTTTTTGTTTTTTTGTTTTTGTTTTTTCTTTCATTCTTTCTCTTTCATTGTCGAGTCTATCCCTTTTGTTCATCGAAGGCTCTGTCTGGCGAGCGAGCAAGCTCAGTCACCTTTGCCTTCCTGGTTCTCTTCTTCGTAGCGATGGTAGGTACTCCCTCGTCTTTCACGATTCCTGTCTTGTTGGCCACCGTTCCGCTTGCTCTTCTTCTCACTTCCCATTCTCTTCCGTGTTTGTGTGTGTTGTTTCATGGTCGTGTCGATGTGTGGCCGCCACTCTCCTCTATCACTGGGTTCAGGTTGTGAGCCCACCTTTTTTGAAGCACCTTTTGGCAGGGTGTGTGCAGGTTTTGCAGGTCAAAGCCCGGGAGGAAGATTCCCGGGGAAGAACCTGTGGTCCAAAGGGGGTCCCGCTAGTGGGTGGGCGTTAGTTTAGCAGAGAGTTTGAGAGAGATAGTGATGGTGTTGCAGGGATGATGCTGGCGAGCGAGAGAGGGACGGACGTAGAGGCAGTGTGAATGAAGAGAGGCGTGAGGAAGGTGAAGGCGTCGGAGAAAACTGGAAGGAGCCGAGGGGAAGTGCTGCGGCATCAAGCGGGTGGATGGGGAAATGGTAACGGGTAGTGAGTTGCGGACGCTGCTCCTGTGGTGGCACGTGAATGCGGGGTTGGTGGGAGTGGGGGAGGAAGCCAGAGTAAGGAGGCGAAAATCTAAGGGTTGAGCGTCGCATTCCATTCCCCCTTGTAGTCGTTCTTCTTAATTGAATATCATTTTAGGAAGCAAGGAGATTGCGCTATCGATACGGAAGCTAGCAGAGCATGGAGATACCGCCTCCGAATGAGAGATTCCAGCCCACGATGCCGCGATGGCGCACCAGCGAGCTGCTCGCGCTTAGTCAGCAACTCTCGCCTGGAGGACAGTTCCCCGGATCGGATTCCAAGTTTCTGATCGATGACACCTTGTTATCGGATCTCATGGATCTGGACCCTCTGTGCGATCAGAGCGGGGAGCCGTGGGTGGCTGCGGGACAAGACTTCAGCCTCCCCTTCGCGGCTTTCTCCCCGGGACAGTTCTCCCCAGGTAATTTCTCCCCGTCCGCCATGTCGCCGCAGCCTCAATCGCAGGCATCTCCAAATTCGCAGCTCTATGCGCAGGTGAATTCTGGCATGGCAGTGCCTGGTGGGCATTTATCCCCCAGGGAAATATTGGTCCAGGATGGTGGGCTTACTCCTTCCCCGTCGCGCTTGGTCGACCTCTTGGAGCAGCCCTCGACTTCTGAAGGGTATCTTGTTGCTATGTCCCCCGGTACCAGTGCAAATTTTGCAGAGATGTCTCAAATTTACCTGTCGAATGGTTCAACAGCCAATTCCCATGCCAATCTCCATAGCAACTCCCATGGCGCCATGGTGAATGAAAGAGTGATTAATCTGGGGAATAACAGGTCGAACTATGGGAGAAATTGTTTGACGGTAACCAACGCGACCATGGAGAGGAATCCGGAAGGCGAGTCCTTACTCAGGCAAGCGGAACTGCGTGACGAATACGCGGGCCAGCCAATGGATCCAGCTGCATTCGAGTACATTAATGCGACGCAGGATGCGCAATATGACATGGTCACAAAGTCGGAGACGTCAAAGAAGAGGTTGGTAGTAACGGGGGGCTCGCTGACGCTCAAGGAGCGAATTACGCAGGCGCTGCGTTTTATTGGAAGGTCATGTGTGGATGTGCTGGCTCAAGTATGGATGCCGGTGCGGACCGCGGATAATCAAACGGTGCTCTCCACACGCGAGCAGCCGTTTGTGCTGGAGCGGAAAACGGATCGCATGTGGACGTACCGCTCCATTAGCGAGAACTATGTATTTGCCGTGACGGGTGGGTTTCCTGGGCTGCCAGGCCGGGTCTACTTGCAGCAGGTGCCGGAGTGGACTCCGAATGTGCAATTCTACAGTGATCACGAGTACCTTAGAGTGAAGCACGCAATGGCATGTGACGTGAAGGGTACGCTTGCGGTCCCAGTGTTCGAGGCAAGCTCTCGGAATTGTTTGGCTGTGATTGAGCTTGTGATGAAGGCTGAGAAGGTTCAGTATGCTCCGGAGATTGACATCATCTGTCGGGCTCTGCAGGTATGAATCAATAAGTTTTTCTTCAGCCTCCGTCGCTTTATCTTGGTCACATGGTGAACTTTCTGTCTCAGCGCCTGTTTTTTGGCTAGAAACTCTAAAATGAATCTCTCAGTTCCTTCTCTTTCTGCATCATGAAGCTGAACGATCAACCAATTTTCGAGAATGAATCTGCTCTTGTGTAGCACCACTGTTGTACTTCATTGTTGAAGTCGCACAATTTGGAAGAATCCTCATGATTTCGAAGGAGATCGTGTTCCTTGGTCTCCTCGTTGCGCATGCTGTGAAATGTGAGACGTTTCCAATTGCACATGGCATTTAAGTGAAAGATTTAGGCTTTTGTAGTTCACTGGCGTCATTATTATGCAGTTAGGCTCATGGGCCCTTTCACATGTTTAACGAAGAAGCGACATATTTTGAAGCACATTTGTTTGAGGTCTCCGAGAGGGGTTTTAGGAGGGGTTCTTAATACTGGTACGGAGTAGTTTCGAGGTGATATCTGTATTCATCAAGACTTCTCGCTCATTTTACAGGCTGTCAACTTGTCATGCACGGATGGGATGGAGCTTCCAGCTTTAGAGGTAAATTTACATTTTTACCACGTCACCGTTCTGCCCTAATCCAAGAGCCATATGGTTCACAACTAGAGTAGTTATTGCTTTGGTCAGCGCATTAGTTCGCAGTAAATACAGAGCGTCCAATTTTGCCACGAGCAATTACTAATTTTTGCAGCTGAATCATGTGTCCTTAATGAGTTTGATATATGGTACATCTCATATTACAAAACATTTTCCAAGATCTAACTCTAGGTGGTGCAACAGTTTCGAACACAGGGCCGGCGTGCGGCGCTTGCAGAGATCAGCGAAGTGCTGACCGCCGTGTGCGAGACACATAATCTGCCGTTGGCACAGACGTGGGTTCCCGGGAGTCACCATTCGGTGGACAAACCCAGCAGCAACAAGAAGTGCCGCGTCGAAAGCGGCACTAACAGCAAGAGCTCCGGCGGGAGCCACAGCAGCAACCGTGTCTGTCTGTGCACTGGCGATGGGCCTCACTATGTAAAAGACAGCAAGATGTGGGGGTTCAGGCAAGCATGTTTAGAGCATTATCTAGAGAAGGGGCAGGGTGTTCCTGGTAAGGCTTTTGCCTCCAATCAGCCAGCTTTTGAGAGCGATGTAAAAAATTACAGCAAGATTGAGTACCCGCTTGGACATTACGCGCAGTTATTTGGCCTTACAGCGGCAGTTGCGATTCGTTTAAGAAGTATTCATACTGGGGCTGACGACTTCGTTCTGGAGTTTTTCCTCCCGGTGAAGTGCATCAGCAGTGATGATCAACAGGTGATGTTAAACTCCCTATCGATCACGATGCAGCGTGTGTGTCGAAGCTTGAGAACTGTAACGGACAAGGAGTTGGCGGATGAGCTGAAGGCTGCCAGCGCAGAGGAGAGCACCGAGGCGGAAAGCAATCCCCCCAAGCCGGTGGATCCTGCGGAAGAGCAGAGAAATGCCGCTGCTTCTGGGATTGAGTTGCCTCCTTCAGAAAATGCAACGGAAAATCCTACTGTACAAGAGAAGCAACCACAGCAGATCTCACAAGAGATTCCAGCGTTGCCTTTGGAGCGTTCTCAGTCACTTGTCAGTGAGAAAGCCCAAGTGGGAGAGTCCAACGATAATGTTGAGCCACTGCAGCTTTTCGAGAAGCAACCGGCCATACAGGTGCCTGGAGCTGCGCGGACGTTTACAAGTACAGCCCAGAAAGCCGCGAATCAGAACCGGAGGCTGGACAGGAGGAGAGGGACTACGGAGAAGACCATAGGTCTGGACGTTCTGCAGCAGTACTTCGCAGGTAGCTTGAAAGATGCAGCCAAGAGCATTGGCGTGTGTCCAACCACTCTGAAACGAATTTGTCGCCAACACGGTATCTCAAGGTGGCCGTCACGGAAAATCAACAAGGTGAGCCGATCCTTGAAGAAGCTCCAGGGCGTGATCGAGTCCGTTCAGGGCGCGGACGGAACGCTTCGCATTAATGCGTTTAGCGGTGATATTGCCTCTGCAGCGGTTGCTGCCGCTGCAGTCACCAGCACGGTGCCAGCAGCTAAGGATACAACCACAGAAGACGGTCGATCAGCTGCTTCCCCTAGTGAGGCCTGTCACAACCAACACGACGGAATAAGTAACGGCGAGAGCAACCAGACTCCATTATCTGTGGAAGACGAGGACTCCTCGCCGCATGATATCCAACGTCTCCGTCATCCCACAGGGGCTTCTAACTTGAGCATGGCCCGCGCAGAGCCCAAAGTCCCTGTAAACTTAGCCAACGCCAATGGCACGAGGCCATCATTACCCATTGATCACACCAGAGATCGAAATTCAGATGAAAGCTCTGGAGGAGCTGAATTCGGCTCGACAAACCACGGTGGAGCAGACCAGGACTTCTACGCGGTGTCGGCCGAGCAGGAATCTGATGGCACGGGCAGGAAGTTGGACATCAAAGAAGTTAGCGCTAAGGACCCACCCACATTGTATATTCCTAACGGAAGCTCCAACCCCAGCCATAGTGGTGGATCAGATTGGGATCGCTCTCCAAACGGCAGCATGTCAGACTTTGGGCGTAACACAGATTCTGGCAGCGGAACTGGATTCAATGGGGGCGCTATATGTGTCGAGTCGCGGGTTCACGGCGGTGCCAGTGCGTTAGCTGCATTACGGGACTCTGATTTGAGTTCTTATGGGAACCCTTGCGATTATGAGCGTTACGCGCTGGATGATTCCCCGCGGGAAGTGACTGGTGCTCATCGAACAGGGTCATCGCATCATAATGGTAGCGATTCGAGCTCCCCATCGTCAGGTGCAGGAGGCTATGCTCGCAAGCATTACTGGCCGGTTCCCGTTGTGGAGCCGGAGGCCGTGACCGTGAAGGCGACGTTCCGGGCCGACACGGTGCGATTCAAGCTGCTGGTGGGATCAGGATACTTAGATCTGAGAAATGAGATCAGTCGGCGGTTGAAAGTCGATGAGCACGGGTTTGATCTGAAGTACTTAGACGACGAGGAAGAGTGGATGCTAATTACTTGCGATGCCGACGTCAAGGAATGCATTGATGTGGCGCAGACGCTGGGCCGGCACACCGTGAAGCTAATGGTGCGTCAGAGCGGATCGTGGACCTCGAGTGGGAACAACTCTAACGTCAGCCTGCAGGACATGAACTGTCACGCTGCTTAGATATGAGACGAGAATTCGCTCGAGGGTTTATATTGACTGGACGAACACTACCAGAATCGTTCCTTCTAGTGGATTCAGACTGGTATTCTTGGATGTTCTTCCTAGATGCTTGGATTCAGGACAGTTTGTCAAGGTGGAAGAATCTTTTTTTCACGCCAACCAGTGAGTGATTGCAATTTTTGTGCTTGGAGAAAATTACATTAGAATTAGTTGACGACACACCTGAAGGAGAGCAAATGGAGACCGATTGCATGGGAGGCACAGCAGCCCAAAGTCTACCGAACTGGTAGAAACGGAGCCTAATCTTCCCCATCTTCGCTGCACTCTATTATTTAATCATTTTAAATGGCTATGTCAATGTCCCTGCAGTCGGGATGCTGCATCACGAGTGCTGACCTGAGCGCACTTCACAACCCCCTGGAGCCACGTTTGGAGGATTGGTGACTGATTTGTTTTCTGCAGCTTGATGGGGTCTTCGCAGAAGTGAATCAAGGATCAAGATGGTTGAGTTCCCTCTTAGCTGAGCAGCACTTGCAGCAGCTCTTGGTGCTAATATCCATTATATGAATAATCAACAAGTTGCTTACTCTCCCTTGTATTTTATGAAGCCGCTAATGCTACCAGGCAGCACATACCATATCTATTTTTGCTGGAAGTGTTTCAAATACAATTCAATTTACTCGTTGAACTGTATACTCCGTTCGTCTCTCTCCTTGGTTGTGACATGGTGTTGTGTGGTGAGCATAATTTGGACAATTTTTAGGATGAATTCAGTCTGGACTTATTATCAATTGGAGAATTGAAATCTTGGTGTGTAACTGTTTGTTCTGATTGTCAGTGACAGGGGTGCTTGTATGTTGAACAGGGCCGGTTTGCGACAGTTTTATTTTATTTTATTTTATTGTGTGCCTTTTAAGGACGTTGATGTGGTGTGGTTCAGTGCCTTAGTATTCCCAGAGTTATTCAGTCTGTTTACAGAACTGCACATTATTCATGCATATATGCTGTACAATTGAGCACGCCTATCCCTATTGATGTTCTGTGGTCTGAACAATTCCCTGCTTGTGAGGCTTTTCTGTTGCTCGCACAGATCAAAAGCGATTGCAATATGTTTTAATTTACTTTCTATTCTCGATATACAATTAGAGCTACTACTTTGCTGAGAGTTCTATATTCAGTTATAGATTACATGGGGGACCTAAAGATACAAACCGTGCTGGAAGTGATTCCATTAGAAGCATTTTTAAAATTATTTTAAGGATTTTGAACCAACTAGCTTTGCTATGCTTGATGAGTCTTTCAAATTATGTATTAATTTTTTTAATTAATCAATATTTTTTTATTAAATACGATATTAATTATTTTGTTCTTTAATAGTCCAAAAACGAGATCTTGCAATTACTAGTCACAACGTTTTTATAACTTTGATGGGGGTTGATGTCGTCTAGAAAAATTACTTGTTCTATTATTTAGTTGATAGGGTTTCTTTGGAGACCATTTCATACTTAAAAAATTAAAAAGACTTGTACTCTACTTCCATGTCTTTTGGGCTATTGAGCATTCTCAAAACTTATGGAATATTATTTCTTAAACAACAAAGGAACAAATTTCTTACTAACCACTAATATCATCAATTATTATGTGTTTTTAATTTTTTTATTTCCAATAAATGATTGTTGTACTATTGTATTTCTATTTTATTTATTGTTTAGTTTTACAAAAATTTCAATCTCATCTAGAATTAAAGATTTGAAATTCTACTCTACTTGGTTATTTGCATTGAAATAAAAGAGACTTTTCCTCTATAAACTTCTTTTCTTTTTGACATTGTATTCTTATAAGATTTAGAACTTAATCTATTAGCATTTTTATGTATTGAACTTAAGGATCCTAATTAGACCAAAAAGAATAGTAGAGGTTTTTAATCAATTACGATTAATATGCATAATAATATATTTTAAAACATAGAAAAAAGCATGAGACTTCTTATGATTTTTTATTCTTTATTTGATGACCATAAATTTGTGTTGTCAAACTTAGTGTGTATTTTTTTTTTTACAAGAAAAAGTCAATTATTTAGTAATGAAGCTAACTAAGATTTAGAAGAAGAAAGTCTACTACTTTTTTTTAGTTTTATAGTGATACATCTCATCATTGATTCTAGGAATTTAATGACTTTTTAAATAAAATGGTTACTTAAGTGTTATAAAATAGTAGTGTTAATAGTTCTCTACGTTACAATTATTTTTCTTATTTAAGGTTAAATGTCTTTGATGAAATCAATATAAGATTTTTGCTATTTTATTATTTTATATTTTAATATATGTGTGCTAATGATTTTTTTTTTTTTTTTTTTTTTTTTTTAATTGCACAAGAAATATATTATAATATAATAGAGATTGTGTAGTGGCTTGAACTTTATGTCTTTATGGATGTTCCTTTTCTTTAGTTTTTTATATTATCTTCTATACTTATGAATTTATGGTGAAGTTGAGTGTGCATTTAGTTAATTAATATTAATCAAGATACCATTTAATTTTTCTTTTAAAATCTAATTTCTTTTTAAGTCTAAACTTCAAGAAAAAGAAAAGATTAAATTAGACCAATATTAGAGTTTCGAAGAAATTTTTTAATAGCAATAATTCTAATATTGTTTCAAAATCTATAAGATTAAGTTCTATTTTTAATGCATGTTGATTTATCATTTTTAAAGAAACTCTTTTTCTTATATTGTGGTCATTTTATGCCCATAATAAATTCATTCAAGAAAATGACAACTTTAGATTTTTTTTGTATCTTATATTTTTATTTAATTTTCTATTAATTTATCCATTTATTTTTGTGAATTTTAAATTAGCCAAGTATGTTTTTACTTTGCCATAATTAGTCAAGTATTACTGCTTCATTGATCATTTTTTATTTTTATTTTTTTTATTTTTTATTTTATGCATCCATGTCATTGATTTTTTGAAAAAAGAACTTTTTATTTAATGTTTTAGAAATCATCGATATCAATGTGACGTGATACTTTTTAGCTAGAACTAGATTGGTGATAAATAAGATATGATTCCAACTTAAGGCCACTCAAAGAATAAACTCAAACAGTCTAGATACTGTAACGTTATTGTGCTTCTGTTGTATTGTTTTAGTTACAACATATTTTCAGTAGAAAGAAAACTGTTCAAAGACGAAACACATTGACATTCAACCGCACTCTTTATACTCAGCAGTACCTGGTATACATCATCTTGCTGTTCACCACTTGCTTGCGCTCTCTTCCTTCACCACCCAAATTCCTAGCTTCAACTTCAACCTCTTAGATCTGCATTTCACAATGATCACCTCCCTCAACACAAAACATGCAGTGTACCAATGGAATAAAATCTCCGTCGAAGGGCAAAACTCATCTTTTTTTGATGAGTGTGCGGGGTGAAACGTATGCACTCTGTAAATACGTCTCGATCTCATCTTCTAGAATGGGTTTTTCTTAAATCCCCTGAAACCGTCTGGGAAGAAGTGAACGTGATCTCAATCTGCTCTGCTCTATTTTACAAGTCATCCGATCGGTGGATAGGTCATCGTACAGCGGGTTGATTTCCTAGAAGACCTAGCTCATTTGGAGGTGTATGCACTTAAAAATTACACTAGTTAATTTGTTTCATCTAGAATACTTGTGTTATCCTAGTTGTCTTTTCTGTGCTTTCTATTTCTATCTACAGGAGTATCTTTTCTTCAGTCTAGGAAATCGGATATCTTCTACATCCAGTGATAACTAGTTTGAATTCCACCAGTAAGCTTGAAAATTCAAAGCTATACTGATAGATAAGAGTTGGCGTATGAGTTTCATTTTAAGAGAAATTCATCAGCAACTTTGGTGCCATCAACGGTGCCACTGCGCTCAAAAACTTCTGCCACAGTGATGTCTATAAGCTCTTGTATCTGCCATGCCATGTGCTCGTAAATGTTTTTCGTGATTTTCTTCTGTGCCTCAGTACTCTTATGCCAAACGACCCCTACAAAAGCCTTAACTTGAGTGTTCACCGGATTCGTTGACAGAGTTTCTAATTCCCGCTTTACATGTACCTGCATTGAAAGAGCGATTATGTAACTACCCTCCTGTGAGCCACTTGAAATATTTACCTCACCACTACACAGATGCAAGGGATTTAATAACAAGACTTGAGTCTTACTTTCAGAGATTAGAATTTCGACATATTTCAAAACAGCGCTTTCACAATAATCACAGCAGCAGAAGAGAACAAGTGGTGATCCAAGATTCAGAATTTACCTCAAAATGATCTCCAAACGGCATATCGTGATATCTGAGCACTTCTTTAATCACTAATTTCTTTAAATCGTCAGTAACCACCTGTTGTTGATTGCAGGACACTCTGCTACCGAATTGACTAATCTGACGGTTCAACTTGTAGCTGAGCTCACGTTGATGAGCACCGATCGTTTCCTCAACATGGTCCCAAGGAGTAGCCCTATATTCAGCGAGCCCCAACTTTTCGCTTATAGATAGATCAACCTTGGTATTATTTACTGCTGCGAGAACAGATTCGGCCTGAAACGGGCCACAAACAGTTGTTTAAGATTTATTCATTAGTACCAAACTCATATTAATCTTTATTTGAAGAATATATCCGTAGCAATGGAAAAAATAGCTATTAGCTAGATTACTCACAGTGATGGGGATCTCGATGACCAAGACCTCGGGCATGATAGTCTGCTCAAAGCCAAGAAAGGGTTGACTATCATCCGCCTGCCGCTCAGCAACAGCATACCTCATGTCTCCGTCCACAACACTCGCAACTATGTCCATTCTTTGCTCGGGGCTCAAATTCCTATTTTTCCATAATGCAACTATGGTTCTGCGATTCAACCACGTACTCATTAGTGGCATAGTTTGGATCAACCTTCCTCCTAATGGTTTTTTATTTCATAAACATGTAAAAAAAACATTTCAGCTTGAGAATATAAAGAACTAGAAATCTAAACTTGAAGCAAGTTCGAGTGTAGTGTGAGGAACGTTCTTGCAAGATATAATGAATACAATAAACATTCATTGACGCTGAGTTAGTTTGAATCGTACTTAAAGGCAGAGCCTGAGCGTAAAAAAGACAAGAATATGAACTTTAAACGACCCATCCCATCAATACTTCTCGCACCATGCCGGGCGTCAAAACCCCGTCCCTTTCTTAGGAAAATGACAATAGATGGGTTGAGGGATTGCGAAATTTCCTTTATTTCTTCAATGTCCTCCCAGAGGATGGTGAACTTGGTCTTGTGACCAAATAAGTTGGAGTAAAACCCCAGTAAACGTACAGACAAGAACAAGCGCCCCTGATGCACGAACGATTATCGACAGCACAAGTTCAGCAATCAGAAACATTTTTGAAACAGATTGAAAAATGGTGCTCCTATGAAACCGGACGAATACAAAGAAACTGAAAATTCGTTAGTGAGCACGAAACCGACTGTTCCTCAGATGGTTTCGTGATTTCGAAACCACATAAAAAATTCTTATAAATCAAAATTCATGGACGTTACGCATGGTAGTCATCACCATCAACGTGAAACTTCACAAAAGTTTACAGTCACATTTAATGATAGCATCTCACCTGTATCAAGATTCTTCGTTTGGCAGCACAAGCAAAGTCATTGTAGAGGAACTCCTCAGGTGGTAATGAAAACAAGTTTTGAAACGTTTCGTTCCGGTGCGATGATCTCTTGCCCACCTGCATGTAAAATTCCCAGATCAAAAAAAATTCCGTAGAACATGAAAATTTTAGTGTAGTGTATGCGCAGAACCTACACTACACTAAAATTGAGGTTAAAGGCTTACCTACGAGAAAAATATGTGTGTACCTTAAGTCCTACTTCTCGCTCAACTCGTTCAAGGTAATTGGGTAAAGCGTTACAATCGCCGGTATTGCTAAGAAAGACACGCAAGTGCAACTTCGATCCATTGGCCCGGGCAGTCTTCCCATCCAGCGGAATCCAGAAATCAGACAGATCGCCTATACTCTTCCTTAAAAAGTTTATCTCAGCGTGTCCAAGTATTTCCGGCTCAGAGAACGGACCATCGTAATCGAAAACCTCGATGTCCATAGTTGAGGGGGGATCTTCGGTTGCATCAAACTCAAACATTTCTGCAAAATATTTGAGAGTAAAATTTTAAGACAATCACGACACCTTTTGACTATACAAAGAGTAGATTACCACAGCAGTGTTAAGCCAGAGTAAACATAGAAACAAACCTACCTCGCCAATTTGGCTGAGAAGTTCGCAACTTCACAGAGCTCGTTCGACTCTTCCCGTTGCAGGTAAACGCAACAAAAGGGTTTGCAATACCAGAATCTTTGGGAACAATATTCTCTCCTTCTATGAGAAAAACAGTTGTATACCAGCCATCGCCTCTTGCCTTCGTCCCATGATCACCAGCTGCATGATGTGATTGACAATCAGGACCCATCAAACTAAAGTGGTTGACTAAAATTCTTCTAGAAATTTACTTACAATGAGATTCAGCCTTTTCACGTGCTAATGAGACTAATGAAGAATCTGTCCCAAGTAGCAGCTTCAAAGACGACTGCAATGACCTCCACTAAATATTTCTTCAGTCAGATTATCAATGAATACGCAAAAGTCATAGTAAAGAGAGACAGAATGCAATGAGACTCACACTGCCAGTATCGCACTCTCACGTAATTAAATATCTTGATGGCAACTCGCTCCACTTGAATGGCAACAATTGCAGCAGATATTAATTCTGTGAATGAAGAAGGGAAGCGAACTCCCCAAAAATCTAGTCCAGTCCTACTTTTACGTGGAGACAGGCCAATGTGAACCAAGATAAATGTCAAAGAAATCACAGCAAATAACACATGCCATTTTCCGAAATAGTCCCAAGCTTCCTCCCAAGCACTGATGGGTTTCTCCTCATCATCCGTGGAAGTCCCCAACAAAGCATATCCTTGAGCATCTGCAACTGAAACTCGTTGCACATGTTTGGCAAGAACCTGGGTATAAATAATTGAATTAAAATCCACACAAAGCAATACAAATAATCGGATATACCCTCAGCCTCAAATCTTTTGGGCTCCGTCAACAAAAGAACAAAATACACATTCATATAGAGTTCATTCGCCAAAAGTACAATATTCATGATCTCTTGCAACGAGTGTAAATTAAACAGAACGAACCTACACGGAGTCCTTACATCTTGGTAAATTGCATAAGTTTCTTTGATGCCCGTTCGGACACCTCCTTCAATCATGCCCTTCATCATTGACTTTTGTAAGAAATTAACGTTGTAGGATATTTGAAGGTGACAACATTTCATACCACCAAGAAAATCTGGCCGTGACGAGATAGTTATCTGCAAACAAAAGTAAATAATGTTTCTTAACTTATATTATATCTGTCATCGATAATTGGTAAAACCTTGTCAAAGTAAAAGCCCAGTGACAGATGAGTAATATCTTACTAGTCACGGCATCATTTATGCACATTTAAAGGACTTTTACAATGAAAAGACCAGAAGTTATGAATGCAGGAAGAAAAGTACTGAAGTAGGATTACATAAAAGGAGCGAACAGATAAAATACTAGTTAATTACTCGGAGTGTACAGGGTCAAGTGATAACTCCAATTGTCTTAGAGCCTGTAAAGGGTGCTATCATTAAATTTTTAAGGTCAGACCGAATCCATGGAGAGAAGGGTGATAACTCAAATTTAGCATTTTCTGCACTGCAAGCTTAGTAATATTGATATTCAAAATTCAATTCAATTAAGATTTCATCCGCTACCAAGAACCCTCGTAAGTTCATTACTCAAAGGATCTTAACTCGCCAACATTTCAAATGAAAAAATTTCTTCAAATTCTTTTAAGATAATCATCACTAAATTTTGAACCAATAATTAGGTTTCCCATTACCTGCACCTCGACTACAAAGGTTCCCCCGTAAGGAGCATCTGGTGTAGCACATGTGGATAAAACGCAATAACACATCTCATCAGCTCGAGTATATGTCTGCACTTCTGTTGCCTTGAGTGCTTTCACCAGTTTCGATGCAGCTTTTATATAGGAAGTAACTCTTTTCATTAATCCATTGCCAGCTTTCCTCCAAGGCTCTTCCATATACTCAGTAGACTTCTGAGCTTCCACCAAGTCTCGCACAAATGTTGATCCAGGCTTGAAAAGGATTGCATTCAATGCTTTTGAACTAACGCCATAAGTTTGATCCAAAAGCACTCCACCTGACAATGGCAGGGGAATCTCTACCGACGATGGACTTAACTTATCCTCGTTGTCATTATCAAAGAAGGATGGCGCAATAGCATCCTCATTATCGGTGTTTGATGCACTTTCAATGGAATACACCGAAGACTCCATGGACCTGCATTGATTTCCTCATGTCAACAAACGCACAGAATCTAGGGGATTGAAAAAAATTAGCGATTGTTCAAAGGAATTACGAAGTTCTGGAAAAAAGTATCATAACAGAGTCGTCAAGCGCTACTTGAAACCATGTCTCAAATGATAAATATAACCAATACAGGTCAAGTTTGGAAATGACACGCACATGTTCGAATGCTGTGAGGATCCTGAGTGTGATGGAGAATTATCCCTAGAATGTTTTCCAGGTTTCTTAAATATAGTTGAAATTTTGTTAGCCAGACGTTGTGCATCTTTCCATTTGCGATTTCTTCTACTAGATCGTCCTCTAACCCATTTTCCCCCTAACTCCCCAACTTGGTCATCGTCTGTATTTGTTTCTGAAATACTATCTGAATGAGGCTGCATTCAAACATTTAATGACCACGATTAGCAGATCTTGTTCCAAGTTCCATGAACAAAAATAATTAAAATTGATCACGAATATAAATGATGAGATGCATCCAAGAGCACGAATAGACCAGGACAACATATAAAGACAAGCAAGAACCTATTGCATTAAAATACAACCAAGGTGCCTCAAGAACAACAGATTTATGATTAAAAAAGAAGAAGTCTGAGGGTCGTATGTTGAGGAGATATGCATTACCGTCTGCTTCGACGAAGCTGGCTTATCAACAAAATTAGAATACTCTATTGAACTATCTGTGCCAAACGAACTAGTACGAGAAAGTGCTGATTCTTCTCCTTGTTCTCCATTTCTTCCTTTTGCGATGTCAGAAAGATTGATTGGATTAGAAAGAAGACCATCAACAGGGGACATTGCTGAAGATTTGAGCTCTATTCCAAAAATTGACAAACCGATGCATATGTCGCCTGCAACAAACATACGACTGTGTAAGATCAACCTGCCAAAACATCGTTACATCACATGTAACGATAAGCTCAAATAATGTATGCCTCGCACTGATTTTACTTGTGATCTGTATTGATGACAATTTTTCACCCGATTAGAGTTCTTTACATCTAGCACAGATGGACCATAATCATGTTTGGAAGTAGCCAGGCTTGGTATGATTCCTACAGCAACCTCTTGCATATCTTAATTTCTTGCAACACAATAAAAGTAATCATTTATGAACAGTAACAAAAAGATCTCTGCACTAATTTTGAAAAAGTGGACACTTAAACCCAGAATTAGAAACTCGAATCACATGAATTGCCAGTTCTTTACTGAAGTCTTCCGTTTGTAGGAAAAATACAAGAAAAATAACTTAAATCTTTTTCCACAAATATCAGAGAAAAATAGAGCACTTAACTTACATGACTTACAAATACCAAAGGATTTAAGTAACCTTATCGTCTGACATCACGTTAGAGACCACTATCTCGATGACGCTCAAAACAAAATCTGCGTTAGCTAAACTAGTAAATTGAAGGCTATTTTCATGACGAGCCTGTACTTATGCCCTTCGTTTCCAACCCTTATATTTTCGTCGTAACTCAAGGTTATTTACAAAAGCGAAAAAGAAAAAGGACAGAAAAGAAAAAAAATAAAAAATAGTCGAGGTGAAAGAGAATCAAACCAGAGACAGGGATGTTTGAACTCCCACTGCGTTTCTGAAGAGGATACCAAACTCGATGGCGTGTGTGTTTCTCAGCATTCAAGACACTAGAGATAGGAATTTTAACTTCACCAAGAAAATGATGAGCGAAAAAATCCTCGTCCCATATCTCAATGTTAAGCTCTTCGTCTGCATTATTGACAACAAAAACAAATTCCTCTACCCAGGTAGGGTTCAATTCCTTGTGCTTCACGGACGTCCGCGCCCTTGATGGACCTAATTTCAATTTCACGAAGGGATCACTCAAGCCCCTTGAATCTGCCGCTGCCAGTCCCCTGGCCTCCCATATACTTACTTGAAGCTTCATCTTTTCGCCCTGGCTAGAGAAAATACACCGACCATCCTCTAGTGAGGAAGACTGATCACCTGTTTCGCAATCCTTTGGAGATTTTCAAAAACTGGTTGGACTCCTGAATGCAGTGAAAGGCAAAAATGGCCAATAATTACACAAAATTTAGTCAACTCGGACTTGAGGATGTAGATTGCATGTAAAATGTTAAAAGAAATTAAATTCAGGAGAAAAGGATTATCTGGCGAGAAACTTGCAAACTAAATATCATCTCTCTCCCAACAAACTTCCATCGCTCATTTGTTCTCTGATTCACAATGTCCATGTTTCCTTACTCTTTGCCGCCACTTTCATTTCCCTTAAAAAGAAACCAGCTCAATTCTCAGCTTCTACTAAGAAAATTGTTTTAACTCTCTGCACACATCACAGCATGGTCGATAGCTAACCATACCAATACGCCACCTAGTGATAAACCTTGCTCTTGGTACGATCTTTGCATACATAAATATAAACAAATAAATAAAATACAGAGGAACATAGAATAAAAACATATTTCAGCTCATCCTCGCATATTTCAATAACCACATTCTTCAGATAGAAAATCAAGAACTAAGAAAAAGAAAACGACGTTCAATTCCAAGAAACACTCAAACACTGGAACCGCACCTCATTAAAAACAATTCCTTCGATTCTTCCAATTTCTCAAGAACAATCAATTTCAATCTGTGTCGTGCACAAGGACGGAACAGGAGGAAGGTACAAGGACGACCGATTCCTCATCAGCATCACGAGAATATCGTCAGCATCCGTTTCGACGTCATATTAGTCCCGGATCAGCTCATTGTTCTGCCGATTCTTGCCGCAGGACCGGCGAATGCGGGAGCGGAAGATGGCGCGCCTAGAACTGATGCTTATGAAGGCACCGAAGGGAAACTTCTATCGGAAAGGGAAATCAGTCAGTAGAAATTGAGAAAGAGGACGACGAAGGCCGCCTTGGCTCGCTCGCTGGTGGACCGCAAGCTTGACACATGGAGGGGGCGCTGCCTGACTCACTTCTACGAGCGTCTCTTTCTGGCGTCATCTGTTTTTTTGCCGCTTTTTGCCTGGTCGCCTCCGAACTCTGTCCACGTTGTCCCTTGCCGGAATTCGCAGCTAAAAGACGCCGCACGAGTTTGCGTCCCGTCTGTGGATGTGACATGTGTGATAAGAGCTTTTGAGGGGGTTGCGCCCATCCAGACTGTTCTTAGAGGCATAAGACTGAGGTGGACCAATCAACACATTGTTTTCTGTTGGTCAATCTGAACTATTTGATCTTTTGTTTTCTTGATGAGAATAACTCCCCTCCTTACAATCCTTTTTTTTTAAAATCATGCGTGGATATGGACTTGATGTGAAAAACTTCATCTTATGCTTGAATCTGATGTGGCATAATTTGATGTGACATGATGTACTATATTACTCTACCTGGTTTCAATGTAGTGTGTAATATTTTTTATATCAGATAAAATTGAACAGTGTATGAATTATTACTACATGCATGTGCAATAATTTAAAGGTTTTTCTTTAGAAAATAATTATATAGTTTCAAATATAAATATTCAAGTAATAATAAATATATATAATTGATAGAAACATTATCAAAATTAATTTATAAAGACCTCTCAAGAAAAAGTCTTATATATGTGAAATTTGTCTATGAAATTTACATGTTGGAATCATTATTCAATAGTAAAATTTTGCAAAATTTAAGATATTTTATCAGAATTTTGTAATTGACTATTTTAATATCAAGATGATATTGTAAAAGAGCACCATTTAAGAAGTTTTTACAAATAGAATATATATATATATATATATATATAAATAAATAACATATTTTATTTTTGTGATGAATACTCATAGTATTTAAATAAATAAAATTGCATAGGATCCAACCATTGCAAGCATATTTCAAGCTTTTATAATGTCTATGCAACAACAATAAAGTAATGATTACGAGAAAGCTTTGGCAACCAAAGCATTACAAGCAATGGTTAACAAAATTGACTTATTTAATGGAACAAAAGTTTCAAAATATTTAAGATATTATATACAAAAAATCGAATTAAATCAAGTTTTTGAAATAAAGATGATTGAGCTATTTGAGCTTGTCACAATACTAAAGATTAAAAAATACATTATATCAACTATGAAGTATTATGAAAGTTCATAGAAGACATTTTTACATGCATTGAAAGATAAATATTTCTTTAAGGATATTGATCGTGTTACTAAGAAGTTATTTTTAGAATGGATTGAGTAGTCTAATAAGAATTTACAAGCAACAAAGCTATTAAGGGAGTTTGAAAGGCAATATTTTCAATCATCAAAGGTAGAAAAGTTAACATTGGAGTCAGACAAGGTTGAATTTTTTCTTCAAGTTACCAATAAAGAATTACAAAAAAAATTAAACTTGCTTCTTGAAGACAAAAAAGAAGATAAAGGATTGACAATGAAGTGGAAAAATATTGAAGATGCAATAGGTTTGCTTGCAAATGAGAAAGGGAGAAGGATAGAGTTAATATTTTAAGGATAATATAAGCACCTAAAACTCAAATGCATACAAGACAACCAAAAATACCTATTGTTCAATCTCTACTATCTACATCAAAGAAAAATGATATAGGAATTGAAGAGATTATACATGGAATGCTGTATCATAATATAATTGTTTATAATATATAAAAATTAGCTAAAACATATAATATATTTATAAGTATTAATATGTATTAAAGTAGTTACTAGGTTAATTTAAAGAGAGTTGATGTAAGAAAATTTATTTTGGAGTTAATCTACTTTAATTATAGTGTTTAAATTATATGAAACTTAAAATATTTAGTATAAAATCTGAAGAGAAGATTGGGACTCAAAGACAAAGATCCAAACCTCTAAGAAACTTATTTGTAGAAATAAAAGCAATGTTTGGATGCATGAAGGCAAAGAATGAGGACCTTCATCTTTATTAGTTAAATGCTATGTCCAATAGGCTCTCAAGAGGTTGTTTGCAATCATAACAAGGATTTTGGTAACTTCAAAAAGAACATTTTGAGAATAAAAAGCAAAGATTGTAAGGTTTAGGATTTGGACTACAATTTATATGAAAAATTTAAAGGATTTAGAATTAAGGTGAAGAAGTTATAGTTATTTAAAGTTAATGTGTCTTTTAAGACATATGGTTGCTTTATTGAAGATACAAGAAGTTGTATGATAATTTTTTGATATCAAAAGATGCGTCTATAAGAGTGATTTTAAGACCTATGTCTTTTGGAAAAGAATTGCTACATTTAGAGTTTTTGTGAAGGATTTATAAAGCGTTAAAGACAGTACATGTAATTCAAAAGTAATAAGTGAGTTGTTTTGATGATAGTAATAGTTGGAGCCATATCTTGAGTTTTTAGACAAATTTTTGATTCAATTCTCCAAAAGTGTGAGTTATTAGATTAAAAAGTTATATATCCACTATAGCAAGAAGTTCCTTATCATGGATCTCATAATTGATTTCAGCAGCAGAGAACTTTCGAGAATAGAATGCAACCGGATGGAGCTTCTTGTCTTCTCCCATTTGTGAAAGTACAGCTCCCAAAGCAAAATCAGAAGCATCAGTTTCTAAATAGAAGGCCTTTGTAAAGTCTGGATGTACCAAGATTGGAGCCGTAGTAAATGTGGTCTTCAGGTTTTGAAACGCCTTCTCTGCTAGAGGTTCCCATTCCAGCTTATCCTTGCATGTCAACCGAGTGAGAGGAGCAGAAACTTGAGAGTAATTCTTGATAAAGATCCGATAGAAGTTAGCAAAACCAAGAAAGCATTGTATGTCTCTAACCGACTTCGGAACCTCCAAAGTGACAATTGCTTCTACCTTCTTGGCATCCATCTTCAAGCCTTTCGTAGTCGCAACGAATCCCAGAAACTCCATCTCTATTTGGTGAAATAAATACTTCTCCAACTCGGCATATAGTCCTCGCTCACATAGTTTCTCCAATACCAAACGAACGTGTTTTTCATGCTCTTCCTCATTTTTGGAGAATATCAAAATATCATCCAAATAGATGACAACAAAATCGTCAAGGTACTCTCGGAAAATATCATTCATCATATATTGAAAGATCGCTGGAGCATTGGTAAGACCAAAGGGCATGACATTATATTCAAAATGGCCATACCTTGTACGGAACGCTGTCTTCCACTCATCTCCTTCCTTGATTCGTACGAGGTTGTAAGCTCCCCTTAGATCAATTTTTGTAAAGATCCTTGCACGTCCAAATTGTTCTAAGAGACCAGAAATCAAGGATAACGGGTAACGATTCTTCTTTGTTACCTTGTTGAGGCCTCTATAGTCCACGCACATCCGCAACGAGCCATCTTTCTTCTTCACAAATAAGATAGGTGCTCCAGCTGATGATTTTGAATGACGGATGAAGTTCTTGGCTAGATTCTCGTCGATGTACTTCTGCAACTCCGCCAACTCCATCTGTGATAGATTGTAGATTAGGCCAAAAGATGGTTGTGCTCCTTCTTGTAAGTCTATGGCGCAATCATATGGTCTAAGTTTCGGTAGCATTTCGGCATTTTTCTTTTGAAACACGTCTTTAAAATCCTTATATTGCTCCGATATACTTGCTATCGAGATCTTCTCCCTAGTAGTTGGAGCCGCATAAATGACAAACGGTGTGCCTCCCTTGGACAATCTTATAAACGCTTTTGCTCCAATAAATAAGGATTTCTCTATTCGGGGTTTTCTACTAGGCTTGCTCTTGGGTGGTTTTGTGGGAAAGGTCATCTTCCGCAACTTCCAATCTATGGATGGATTATGCTTTTCCAATCAGGAAAGACCAAGAATAACAGGATTTGATGGGGTTCTATTAATATTGAAAATAATATGACTACTATGGTCCTTAAACGTCACTTCTATAGGTTCTGATTCATGGGTGACACTACCAGACAATAAAGGTCGTCCATCTATGACCTCAACGTGAACAGGTTTGGATTTTTGTACTAAAGGGATCTTATGACGCCTTACGAATTCTTCGTCTAAGAAACAAGCAGATGCTCCTGAATCTAATAATGCTAAGGTTCTCAGTTTTTGAGGGCCAATAAGCAAAGGGATTGTAAAACAAAGGGCAGGTTGAGCGGAAAGAAAGGAACCTGGTTGTTGTTGCGATATTTCACTGTCCAGCCGCACGGTTCCTATTGTGGCTGGGCATCTTCGTTTTCCTGAATAAACGCACCCCTAGTCTTGATAATACGTCGATTTTGCTTCTTGGGGCAGTTTCCAACTTTGTGGCCTTCTTCACCGCAATACAAGCATAGACCTTCCTCCATACGCCACTTTTTTTCTTCTAGAGTAAGAGATTTGACACGTACCGCATCAATTTGCATGTCTTCTACCTCTAAATGTGAATTCACGCTGCTTGCCGACATAGTTGGGGTGTGGCGAACCGTATGTTGTCTTGAACGTTGGTCTTGGCGACGTTGGAATAGGCGGTTATCGCACTTCACAGCTTGGCTAATAGCTTCGTTGAGCGTTTGCAGATCAGGAAGAGTTAACAGCAAATCTTTCACATCGTCCCTTAAATCCCAATAGAATTGACTCATCAACGCTTCTTCATCCCAATTGATGTTGCATGCTAATTGCGTGAAGTTCGATGCATAGACTGATGTAGAACGCATCCCTTGTCGTAGTGACCGGATCTTTGTTGTAACCCATCGAACCTTGTCGTGTTCACCAAATGCTTTCGCAAATGCCTCCAAAAAGGTTTCAAAGTTGTTTAATATGGACGATCATTTCTCAAACAAAGGAGCAAACCATGATAGAGCTTGTCCTGTAAGTAAGGTTCCAACAAGCCCAATACGTGACTCCTCCGTTGAATAGCGTTCGGGCTGTAAAATCATTATCAACTTGATTTGGTTGACGAATCCTCGAAACTTGGAACATGTACCATCGAACTTGTCCAGAAGGCTAACTCGAGGTTCCTTATGTTGTAGAACTAGCGATGCTTGTCGAACCTGAGG